CGTCACCCTGAGGAGACCCCGTCCGGTCCGCGGGCCCCGTCACCCTGTGGAGACCCCGTCCCTCAGGTCCCACCGCCCGGAAAAGGCCGCGCGTCCCGACCCCGGAGCCGCTCAGCCCGCAGAGGGAAAGGGGGCCCGGCTGGTCAGGAGCTCGGGAGTCGGGGTGCGTCGGGGAGGGAGGGGCAGCAGACGGCCCTGGTCCTTGGCCTGCGGCGTGTCCTCGGGGGGGCCCAGGGCTCAGAGGTGAGCACGCGCTAGGTGGTGACGGCACTTTAGTGAGCGGGGGACACAGCCCCTGCGGACTCCGGGCGTCCCAGGCCTGGGCTGCTAGAGCCGTGGGCAGCCGAGGGCGGCGGGGCGGGCGCTGTGGGCCGCCGACGCCGGGCGGCCGGCCTGTCGCGGTCACCGCGCACCCGGGCAGCACCGTGGGCCGCTTGCAGCGCCCGCTCCGGGTGTAGCGCCAGCCGCGAGCCCCCCGGGCGGGGCAGCGCCTCCCAGGGACGGCGAGTCCAGCCCCCGCCGCTCTGCCGGCTTTGCCGCAACTGCTTTTAAAATGAGGTTAATCCTGGATGTGTACTAGGCTTCAGTAAGACATTAAAAAATAAAAATAAAAAAACAGATTAATGTCTTGCAGAATGAAGCATGTAGAAACTCTGAACTCTTACGAGTTGGGAAGTGGCATTCTCTCTTCCCTCCAGCCCTCCCATCTGTTCTTTTTCCGAAGAAACCCCTGCAGAGCGGCGGGCGCAGGCAGCAGGTGCAGAGCAGATGGAGCCCGCGCCGCGCGCTCCGAGGAGCCCCCCTCCTCTCTGTCCCTGAAAAGGCAAGTTGGATTTTTTTCATGTCTTTTCTTGTAACTTCACCTCAAATACAAGCCCGAGTGATACATACGTAAAATGTTCTTGGTATTTTGATAAGTATGTTTAATTTTTTAAAAAAACACTGTAGCAAGTTAAGCCACTTACCCATACGCGAAATTAGTAATGAAGCCAGGATTATGTGTGACTTAGAAATGCGGCTATAGCCATTTAAGGCCGCGTTAGACGCTGACACCCCAGAAATAGCCCCGTGTCCTCTGTAACCCGCTGCAGACTCACAGGTTGAGAAGAGTAGTTTCCGTACTCGTTGTATTTTAATGTATAGCATTGCATTCCATCTATTTACCTTCGTCATGCGCTGTCTTTATTTTAAACATGCTTGTTTTTAATTTTGCTTTGGTGCCAGTACCCGGGATTCAGGGAATAAACTTTCACCTTAAGACAGTGTGGGGTAGTAAGGTTCTGGAGTCAGACTGCCAAATCTGCCTCCTCGCAGCCCTGCGCCCTTGTCAAAATTACTGTCTTTTCAAACCCTGGGCCTTATCGTTTGTACAATGAGGACGTTAATAGTACTTACCTCCCAGATTGTTACAGGATTAAATGAGATAATTTGTGTGCTTACCACACGGCAAATACTCAGTAAATGTTGGCTCTTATGTTTATTATTTCCACATAACTAATTATATTGACTGTATGCTCGAGAACATGGACAAGTTATTTTACTGTTTAAAACTCTAAAATTCGTTTTCATAAGTATAAAACATAAAATTCATTTATGCTTACTCGCCCTATTGAACTATGTGTTCACCTTTTTAAAAAAGCAAATTCTTTCCTTTTTTTTTAACTAATATTATTAATGGCTGTCAAGATGTTTGGCTGACAAATATTTTATGTAATCTGCATCCTCAGCTCAAATTCAGGGGCTGGTTGAAGTAAAAAAAAAAATTAAATATCGTTATTTTTACAGTAAACATCTGTATTTAAAATTCAGTAAAAAATTATAATATATTCTCGGGTTCACAGCACATGGCAGCTAATGATTGGGGACCTTCATTTCCAATGACTTTATCCTTGGACAATTCACTTAGAGTGTATGATAAAACTTTTAATTTCACCAAGAGATTGTCACACAAGTGAGGAAAAAATTTTACAAAATGCTAAAAAGGACATGTCCTATGCTTCACAAAAATTACAAAATGAAATCTCAGGAAAACCGTGTGATTAATACACAAAGAGAACCAGCCCGTGGTGTGCAAAAATTATCAATAGGTGGAAAACCAATGACAGAAATACTATTTTCCGTTCTTTTATGTTTTAGCCAATCTGTTATTGATCAATTCATCTACAGCTCAAAGTAGGAAAATATTGTCTTATTTACATGACTCTTTCCAAAGTAAAGTGCTTTATAGTAGAATAACACCTTTGATTAATATTCTACTTAGTTGAGGCTTCTATCTACTAGCAATAAAAGGTAAGTTTTCATTGCTTCAAGGAAGGTGAAAGGGAGCTCTGCTCCCACCCATATAATCACTAGCATATATTGGGAGAACAGCAGGCTGGAACAGCTAAGCATGGAATCTGTGACCTGAGCAGAGAACAGATTAATCCCTGCTTGGGATTTGAACCTATAATGTTTACCTTGCACTAAGGCTCTAATCTGTTAATTGTCAACTTAAATGACCCAGAAGAGCACACAGATATCTCTGTGCAGTCTTGAAGATTTTGTTTTTGCTGTTTTGGTATTCTGGAATTAGAAAGTGCTTTTCATTTTTAGTTATATGGATTAAAAGTCCTTTTTCTTCACAGGTGTGGATTTATTTTCTCTTTCAACCATAATTTTTATAAACATGTATACAGTTATAGTTTTAAATTGTAAGTCACTGGGAAAATATAAGCAGATTTCTATAAATTCACATTTCTGGCACTCTTCAAGTACAGTGGGAGTTCCCAAATGCCTGGCGACATCTTACATCATCAGTTGGTGACCATCTCCGCTGAACAGCTGCTGCGCTCTTTATCACCATACTTTTCCCTTCCCTAGCTACAACAGTTGTTGGTGTCCATTCTTTCTGAAGTCTGCAAAGGACTTACTGCCTGTGTCCCCTCCCCACCACTTGTGGGAATGCCCGATGGCCTTCCTCACACTTTCTGGGCATCCAAGGCCTCTTCATGCCAACATCTGTCCTTACTGACATGAAACACTTAAGCATCACACTGTCTTCCCTCCCACCCTCACCACTGGGAGCTGCTGAGGAGGAGGAGACAAACATCCAAGGGATGCTTTGGAAGACAATACTCAGTCGGCATATAGTCTCTCTTATTTGGATAGAAGACCTTCATAGTCATTCCTTAAATATGCCTGATGGAATCTTCCAAAAAAAATTTTTTTTTTGGTAAACTAAATTTTATTTCTCAATATGATATAAATCTAATGAGAAAAATTTTTTAAACCAGCAACTCCCATTCATAGTACAAAACCATTTTAAGATTTAATTATTTAGAGTCTAGTTATCATTAAATGGTCTGTTACATTTGTGGAAACTATTAAAAAAAAAATGTATCTGGAAGGAATGCTTCTCTCACACCAGCATATGAAGAGCATCCAGGCCTGACCAGGTTGGAACACATGAACCTCACCTCCTCCAGGGACCCTGTAGCCTCACACACAGGAACACACGGTCATTCTCTGGAAAGTGAGCTGAGGTTCCCCACACGGACTCGTCCACTGTCTAGGGAAGAGATTAGGGTTGCCTGCTGAGCTATAGGAGCACAGGTGCCTTGTTGGGAAGGCAGGGAGAAAAGTTCTGCTTTAAATGCAGATGCCCTCAGGGTGGAGCAATAGCCTGAGCCTAGGAAAGAGCTGGAAGCAAGAAACAGCTGCTCCTTCTCTGCTCACCACTGCCTCCTCCCATCCCTGCCTGCAGCAGGTCCTAGATTGGGGTGCAGGCAGCACCAGCCATAGCTGAGGGGCTAAGACATCCATCTCCACACCAGTGCAACTGGGAGTAAGGATTTCAGCACAGATACCTCCAGTTTTGTTAAACTAAGAAACCCTGTATTTCAAAATAAACATTTCCACATCATTAAAATAGAAAAAATGAGGGACGCCTGGGTGGCTCAGTTGGTTAAGCGTCTGCCTTCAGTTCAGGTCATGATCCCAGGGTCCTGGGATCAAGTTCCACATCAGGCTCCTTGCTCAGTGGGGAGCCTGCTTCTCCCTCTGCCTGCAGCTCCCCCTACTTGTGCTCTCTCTCTGACAAGTAAATACGATCTTTTAAAAAATAGAAAAGATTATAGACTCAGTAATCTTTTTTTTTTTTTTTTAGAGAGAGAGAGAGAGAAAGCATAAGCAGGAAGGGGGAGGAGGGGCAAAGGGAGAGAAAGAGAGAATCTTAAGCAGGCTCCATGCCCAGTGCAGAGCCCAACGTGGGGCTTGATCTCACCATCCTGAGATCATGACCTGAGCTGAAATCAAGAGTTGGACCCTTTAACCAACTGAGCTACCCAGGCGCCCCTAGACTCATTAATCTTATCCTAGCATTTACTTTTCTTGAGATGCACCGTCCAATAGAACTTTCTGTGATGGAAGAAAACTGAGCTGTGCTATCCAATATGGTAGCTGCTAGCTATATGTAGCCATTGAGCACTTGATGTATACAACTGAGGAACTAAATTTTTAATTTCATTTAGCTTTCATTAAATAGCTACATGTGGCTAGTGGCTACTATATCAAAAGATCTTAATTCCTAAAAAGCTGAGCAGTTGCATCAGCCTTGCCTCATATTGGCTTACATTTAATGAAATTTATTCAGTAAATTACTTCATAACACTTCAACATAACATCACGTTTGCTCAGTGCTTTATAGTTTATAAATTGCCTTCTCTTAAAAAAAATCTCTTTGGCTCTGATAGATGGCTAGCTACTTGCAGAAATACAGAAATTATAAGATAAGGCTCCTACCCTGCATTTTTAATTTTCCAACCCACACCATTTCTATCACAGTTTGTAGAGTTCTTACCACCTAGGACATATGCAAGAGATGCCTTTCCAATATGTCAGTAGTCTTTTGTTTGTTTGTTTGTTTGTTTTATGTCAGTAGTCTTAAGAATACTTTGTTCACACCAGATGCCCTACCCAAGTTATTGCCTGGTCAGCACAGTGTACGTCAAGACTGGCTTCCTGGGGTCTGGGTAGGTCTGTGAGTGCAGACCGAGTCTGTGTTAATCATTGTCGCAGACCTCTCTCCCACGTTGCTCATACTGACTTATAGCCAATTGCACAGCCTGGTCAACTGAAAAGACTGTCTAAAACCCCAGGCCTGGACAGGCAAGATAGCATATTACACTGTATGGGCTTTGGCTCTTATGTCACAAGCAGCAGAGACAACTCCCTCTTGTATAAGCAAAATTGCATTTTTTTTATTTTTTATTTATTTTTATTTTTTATTTTTTAAAGATTTTATTTATTTATTTGAGAGAGAGAGAGAATGAGAGAGAGAAAGCACGAGAGGGAAGAGGGTCAGAGGGAGAAGCAGACTCCCCGCTGAGCAGGAAGCCCGATGCGGGACTCAATCCCGGGACTCCAGGATCATGACCTGAGCCGAAGGCAGTCGCTTAACCAACTGAGCCACCCAGGAGCCCTAAGCAAAATTGCATTTTTTTTAAGAATTAGGAACTCATAAATCAACTTACAAAAGTTGAGGAACCAGGATTAGAAGTGGGCAGAAGTGAGGGAGGGCAGGCACCAGTACATGTAAAAATACATCTGGGGTGCTGAAGATGACATAATGAACTGCAATATTCCCTTTTCCTGTGGTCACTTGCATAAGATTCAAAGTTACAGAAAAAAAAAAATAGTTGAATAGACCAAGCTTAAGTATGATGTCTCCAACCTCACAGTGAAAAGAGTATGGCTCCTTCAGCTTTAATATGAAGAAGCATGTACCTGGATTGAGCATCTCACCAAAACTACATACAACTCCTGAGAAAGATATCTATGTACCTT